ATGAACAAAAGATCCCTCAAAATCAAAGAGAATCCCTAGGGTGAGGACGATGACCGAAAGATCCCTCCAAAAACAAAAAGAGTCCCGAGGGTGACAACGATGAACAAAAGATGTATCAAAATAAAAAAGAGTCCTTAGGGTGAGGACAATGAACAAAAGATCTCTCAAAATAAAAAAGAGTCCCCGAGGGTGCGGACAATGAACAAAAGGTCCCTCAAAATAAAAAAGAGTCCTTAGGGTGAGGACGATGAGCAAAAGATCCCTCAAAGTCTCTTCTCCCCCAAAGTCTCCACGGATGGATCTGCATCAAATGCATTCAAACGTCTGAGCATCCTAAATAAAGCATTGTGTGGATTTCTCCTCGATGTTCACGTGGTCCGTTGGCTAGCAAGAAAAAAGAAATAAAGCCAGAGGAAATTTTTTGAATATTGTCCTTCTCGCTTCTCTTGAAGCACAACATTTGGCAGGGCATGTTGTTTGTAGACATTTTTCAGCACTATCGGTCCCCGATGCGGAATAAGAGAGAAGTCGGTCAATAAAGCCTGACAAACAGTGGAAATTTCGCCCCATAATAGATCAAGAACTTCATAAGGACTCCTAAAAGCCTCTTGCCAAGTTTCGTCACATTCCGACATGTCTAAGGTAGTGCAGAGGAAGAAACAATTTTGGCAGAATCTGCCTCTAACACCCTAAAACGGATCTCTATAACTGGAACTCTACTTTCGAAGCATCAAATGGTTGTGGTACACCCTCCATTAGATCTGGAACGGTTAGAAACCTCAGAGGTCAAATTTCAGCTTAAATAGACACTCTAGGAAGAAGTTACGGGCAAAAGATTAAAACAGAAGGAGCCGCACACTATTTCCCTGTGGCCACCCTACAACTAAACTCCATTAAGCATAGCACGAGTGGGGAACTTGCGATGCCCATATCTCTCTTTTCGAGATCGGATGGCACTCAAACTTATTTGAACGCGTTTGTCTCGTCGAAACGAGTGTTTTGATATGTGGCACGTCTTGTGACGATCTCGGAGCAGGGAGAAAAAGTAGAGAGAAGATCGTGATTTGAAGCCGCACGTTACAGAAAATCAGCAGTACATCCACTCACTTGAGCGGCCAAATCATAGCGCTCGCAAGCTCGATCGATGAGAGACCAGTTGCATCGCGTGCGTAACACTGTGGCTATCACTGGTCCGAACCCCGCGTGTGATGAAGAGTTAGATTTCGTACAAGATCATGTCGAAGTCACTGCTAATTCAGGCAGCCAGAATTCCAAATTTCGGACAAAAGTTCAAGAGTGCCAAAACTTCGTTCGGGCATCAAATCGCGTCTCGTTTGTTGCAACGTGATCGTGGTGACATACTCAATGCGATTTAGTGAAGAAATCACATAAAAACATCGACATGAAGACCCACTATCTATCAAAATTTTTCAAGATCTATGTGAATTTCAAGTTATGTGGTCATGCCTTTAAAGTGTGATTCATGGTTTACAATTATTATCAAATTGATCGTAGCATTGAGCCCTACACGATGGTAATCATCTTTTGTTCATTCGGATTGCCGAATTGTTCAAGAGGAATCAAGAATGTCCCAAGTTCTCAATAGACTGTTTTGGAATTTTTTTAATTGTTAAGCAAGGGCAAATCAGTCATTTTGCACCCTAATTTCTTTTTTTTTAATTCACATAAATTATAATTATCCCCAATTAGTTTTAGGTAATCCGCCCATATTTTAGCTCTAGTCTATAAATGGACGCTACCTCTCATTGAAGGGGATCTCTTTTGGGGAACCGAAATCATTGTACACGGATTCAATAAAAATTAGGGTTTTCTTCTTGCATTCTCTTGATCACATCTTGGAGAGAGAGAGAGGAGAGATAAAGTTTAAAGCAGTACCCCTCCTATCTTCGAGGTATTTTCTCTCTCTTCCCTTCTTCTCAATCTTAGGTTTTCTTCCTCTCTCTTCTCTCTCTTCTTCTCTTTCTTCTTCTTCTCTGCTGGTCTTTTCCAGAGGCCATGCACGGCAGTGGCAGTGCCATGCATGCCTCTTTCTTTCTTCCCCCTCCTGCAGTTTTGTAGGTCGTGCATGGCGATGGCAGCGCCATGCATGAGCTTCTTCCTCTCTCTCTCTTTGTTCATATCTTTTCCTCAATATGGTTCGCGCACGGCGTTAGTCGTTGTTGTGCGTAACGTCATCTGAGGAGCACATGGTGAGCCGGCCCACGCTCAAGCAACGAGTCAGGCTCCTGTTTCGGTTCCAAGATTGGCGTCACATGCGGCGATGTGTATTGCCGACCGCAGACTATCTCTCTTTCCTCTTATGGGTCGCAGACGGCGATACCTATCGCCGCCCGTGGGGCTCTCGTCCTGTCTCGTGCCTATTGCAGACGGCAATACCTATCGCCGCCCCCAGGGGTCTTGTCTTGCCTCGTGTCTCCTGCAGACAACGATGCCTATCGCTGCCCACAAGGAGTCTCACACGTGCTTCACCTCTTGCAAATGGCAATACCTTCCATTGTCCGCAAGCCTCTTTCACGCTTTGTGCCTGTCGTAGACGGCGATACCTATCGCCGCCCACGAAGGGTCATTGCTGCCTTCTCGTGCCGCCGACAGCGATGGCCAACGCTGTCTGCAGCTCACTACTCACCCTTCCGCCACGAGTAGCAGTGTCCAGTGCCGTGGGATGGTGATGCCTAATGCCGCTGGGACCTTCCTACCGCTTTGTCCCGCGTCTTCTCTCATCTCTCATCTTTTCTCCTTTCCTCTTCCATTCTTTCTTGACTAAAAGATAGACTCAGTCTAGGACCTTCATAGAGGTCTGGCTGTTTAGCAGTATTGCCGTCGTGTTGGTCCAAAGTACCATGCCCATCTTGCTGCCACACAAGATTAGCACGGTTATATAGGTCTTGGTTTCGAGTAATATTATCGTCGTGCCGGTCTGAGTTACCGTGCCCATCTTGCTACCACTCTGAGTCGGTCACTGTACTTGTCCAGCTATCATGCTAGCCTAGTCCCCTTGTCAAGTCCTCTTCTTTTTTCTCCTCTTATTCAAACTCTCTTTCGCATCACTCTAATTTCTCATCTTCTCTGCCATCTGAATGTGCACGTCTGTGTATGTTCGCCCCAAGATAAGGGTGGGTCCCGCGGCCCACTTGTCTTGTAAATTGACCATGTTAGGGCTTTGCAGAAAACAAGGAGAATGCAAGTCAGGGGATGAGAGTCTGAACCAGTTGAAACAACTGGGGGCTTTCCGTTGTGATCTAAGAGGGCGCCCCGCGGGTCAGCCTGAGTAAGTCTTGGACCCATGTGAGGTTGGTCTCCACCTCACGTTTAAAATTCCTCTCTCACCAGTTGGGCATCTGCCCTTGCTTTAGGAACAAGGTTCTCGAGAGAGCGATCTCAAATCCCGGGTCTTCCGAACTTGAGGCACGTGTCATCTGATCATCTAGATCCGGGGGGCGAGATTAAGGTATCCGACCAGCCACGTGTGCCTTCATCAGCTTCATGCTTGATCATGCTTTTCAAGCACGTGACGAACAATGGTATCGGGGAAGCTTTTATTAACGTCAAACTTCTTTCATTTTTTCAATATGGGATTTGAACATGGTACTTAGGCTTGGAAAGGTAATACAATACAGTCTTTTATTATAAAAAGTAAGACAACAAGTGCTGTAATGGTGCATTGGTTTCATGTCCCTCTCGTATATAAAAGGTTTCTAGTTCGAACCTGGGCAAAGTTGCCCTTGTCAAAAAATAAAATAAAAATTGCTCTTGTCAAAAAAAATAAACTAAAAGTTACCTGGGTAGCACCGTCTTCCTATTTCTCTTGTCAAAAAATAAATAAAAATTAAAACAACAAGTATTTTATTCTAGAATCTCTCTCTCTGTACTAACAAATCACACTCTCTTTCTACCAACAATCTCTTCCACTAAATTTATTCTAGAAACCTGAATCTCTCTCTCTCGCTCTCTACATCTCTATATCTTTCTACTAACAATCTCTTCTACTAAATTTTTCTAGAAACCTAAAGAATTAGATTTTTGAAAAATTAAAGTGTTATTTTGAAAATTGGCACGCATTCTAATAATTTCTACATTGACAATGAAATCTTGTATTTTATTTATTAATTTATTTGCATTATAAATTATGTAATGTATTATTTTTCTTACAGTTTTTAAATTAGATGATAGTATAAGATATTTTAGATTTTTTATTATTTGTATAGTCAAATAATTATCAAATATAAACCAACAATTTCAATTTCAGTATATAATATTATAGTTAGTTAGGTTATAATAATTTTGGATTATAGTTAGTTAGGCTATAATAATTTGGGTTTTTTTTAGTGGATTGGGGTTTTCCGCCAATTCGAGATTTTTGTGGCTATTTTTTCAACGATTTAATCAATTCTTTATTATAGCTCATGTATGATTATGCACTTTATCCATGATAAATTTTTTTTTCCTTTTGTGTAATGTATTTTGAATGATTAACATAAATTTATACCAGGAAAGAACATCTCAATATTCACATATTGATGAAAAAAATAAAAATTAATAATATAATACCTCATTTTTTATTGGATTTTTTAAAAAAAAACATATAATGATTTGTAATAATTTTTTTAGATTTTTTTATTACCGAATCCAACCAAACCGCCAATTCATCGATCCGGTTTGACCTACCCGATCCGTCACCTACAGTGTTTCAAACCGTATGGTTACACGTATCTTATGACAGAAGTGCTAAACACTGTTTCAAACAGAAAGCCGAAGGGCACTGTCGTTATTTATTGAGAGAGTAGGTGTAAGTATCAACGATCCCTCGATAGAGTCGCGCCGGAGGCCACTGTCGTTATTTATTGAGAGAGTAGGTGTAAATATCAGAGATCCCTTGACAGAGTCGCCGCGAGTCTACTCCCACTTAAGAAATAGTCCTCTCCCACTCTTTATCGCATATAATATAAGAAAGCAAACCCTCCCTCCCTCCCACTCCACAAATCTCTTTCTCTCTCTAAAATTAAGAGCAACAGAAGTAGAGCAAGAGTCCCAATGGCCACCCTGAACCACCCACGCTCTTCTTTCCACTCCACTCCACCTAACTCCCTTCAAAATCTTTAAGAAAAGGAAGAAAGTAGTGATGGCCGTCACCAAAGGAGCGGTTTTCGCGATAGCGGTCTTCTTCACAGCGGTCTTCTTCACAGCGGCTCATCTGCCGCCGGAGACTGCGGCGCTGCTGAGGCTGCGAGCGACGCTCTCCGCCAACGCTACCGCAGCCCAATGTTGCCGGATGAGCATTCAGACCTGGGGTTTGCCGGGTCACGATGCATGTCGATGGGAGGGGGTGGACTGTGATGACGATGGCCACGTCATCGGGGTTAGGGTGACGTGGACGTGTGAGAATTCCTGCTTGTGCCGCCGTTGCCCCACTGGGGCTTCTGCCGTACTTGAGCTGGCCTCTCTCTCACGCCTCAGGAGCCTCTCTCTCAGAAATTTGGGACTTGGGGGAGTCCCTTTACCATTCTCAGGTAATTTTCTTCCTTTAATTTTGCAGTCGATATGATAGAGCGAGGTGGGATTGGGGGCTGGCTGTAGTTTACAGAATCTACGGGAAAAGCTCTGAACAATCCAATTTCTAACCTATCTCAAAAATTTCATTAGAAGAGGTCGTTTTTTATGCTCAAATATCTTCAAATTGATCATCTCTACGTCAAGATGCATGGACATCAAGAAAAAAAATGGATTCTTACGTTTTCAAAATAATGTATTTTTTAACGCATTTTTTGGACCGTCAATTTTTTATGATTTTTTATTTTTAAGTTTTCATAGATATATCAATCGACTCTATTTTTTAAGCTTTAAACTTTATAAGTAAATATAAAAATATATTTCAAAACTATCACAAAAATTTCCTTTTTGACACTATTTGAATCTAAGCTATTTGATTGTTTAGAACCTAGACTCTAAAACTGGACCCTATATCTATTATTTTTTTTGTTATTATAATATTACTTTAAAAAAATTCATTAGGACTATTTTATACCCTTTTATATTCGTAATTATAATAAAGGTCCAGTTTGCATACGGACGCATCCGAGGTACGGTGCACTTTGATGGAAAATGTTTTTTATCATAAAATTTATTTTTATATCTAATTATAAAATTTTAAATTTAAAAAATGGTTAAAATGAAGTAATCTATAGAAATATACAAATCTAGAAAATGGACGGTGTAGATAATATGATGTAAAATACACTATTTTTAAAACTTAAAATCTTTTTATTTTTCATAGTCGTACATCCCGATGTCGAGATGATCAATCAACGGGTTTTTCAACATTAAAACCGCCTTTTTCAATGGATTTTTTAAGAGCATATGCAGTTCTAGGGTAGCATCCTTACATAAATTTTTTCTTTATAATAATTTGTTGGTATTTAAAAAAAAAAATACCGAATTGCTTTTTTCGGAGTTTTAAAATCCAAAGTTTTCATTCATGTGCAACTGCCTCAAATTGAACTTTTCTGATTTTTAACATCCAAAATATTCACTTTGGATTCAAATATTGAGGTTTGCCCCATACCACCCAACAAACCAACTAAAAACCACAAGTATTTAATTCACTCTCATACAAATTTGTGTCCTGTTTGGATGCAGAACTATGTGGCCTGCGCAACATAACCTACCTTGACCTTGCTGGTAACTCCTTCACTGGAAGCTTGGATCCCTGTTTCCCTTCTCTTCAACACTTGGATCTCTCTGAGAATGCCCTTACTGGTCCCATCCCCTCTTCAATTGGAGACTTGGTGAATCTCCAATATTTGGACCTCACTGGAAACCAAATCAACGGGACCTTGCCTCCAACAGTTGGCAATTTGACATCCCTTCTTCACCTTTCTCTATCAAATAACCTTCTCCAAGGAACCCTACCTCCTTCCATTGGCAACTTACACTTGCTGCAAAATTTCTCTCTTTCTAATAACCAGATGGAAGGGAGTATACCTCCATCTCTCTCGGGTTTAGCTTCCCTTCAAATGCTTCGTCTATCGAACAATAAGTTTGTGGGGGACATCCCGTCAAACCTCAGTAATTTGCGATCTCTCAAGGAGCTGGATCTCTCAGGTAACAAACTCAACGGGACGATCCCTCCCTCTGTCGGGGAATTGCAGTGCCTTCAAAGGATATCCCTCTCTTATAACCAACTTCATGGGAGCATCCACCCATCCTTGGGTAAATTGGTTCTTCTACAGTATTTGAATGCTTCATCTAATAGACTCCAAGGAACCATACCTCCATCTCTTGGCAATATGTCTTCTCTCCAAACACTCGATTTGTCGAACAACAAGTTCAATGGTACCTTCATATTTGCCACCTTCGCTAATCTCTCCAACCTCACAGGCTTACACCTTTCAGGCAATGAGGGGCTAGCAATCCAAACTGATTCCCCTTCATGGACCCCAAGTTTCCAGCTAACCGCCCTTAAACTGTCTCATTGCAATCTGGCCATTAATTATGGCTTCCCTCGATTTCTGGCCACTCAAAAAGAGAGCTTGATGACACTGGATCTCTCTAAGACCAACTTGGGAGGAAGCATCCCTTCTTGGTTGTTCAACATAACAACTATCAAAGGCTTGAGGTTGTTCTATCTACATGATAATTTCTTTAATGGCTCACTTTCCCTGCCAATAGTCATCCAAGACCTTCGCTATTTAGATCTCTCCAACAACCTCATCACCGGTATTCCAAAAGATATCGGCCTTCTTCTTCCCAGTTTGTGGTACCTGAACCTATCTGTAAATTCATTGAGTGGTCGCATCCCTTCCTCAATTGGCAACCTCAAGAACATAGGCATACTAGATCTCTCATTCAATAAATACTCAGGGGAAATCCCTCCTTCTATGGTGTCAGGGATGGCTAACCTAGCCACATTAAGGTTATCGAACAATAAATTGAATGGGTCGTTCCTGCCTCCTGGACAGCCTTCTAACCTACTCGGCTTGGAATCGCTACATCTAGACAATAACATGCTCACTGGAACCATTCCAAATGAGTTGTTAAGAAGCCCACTTTTGAAAGTCTTGGATTTGGGTCATAACCATCTCACTGGTGGCATTCCCAATTGGGTATCAGGACTCTCCAATCTGCGGATACTGATATTGAAGAGCAATGGATTTCATGGTAGCATCCCAAATGAAGTGTGCCACCTCCAAAATTTGGCCATGTTAGACTTGTCACAAAATGATCTCCAAGGTTTGATGCCTCGTTGCTTCTACAATGTCACTGCTTGGGTCGACGGCACACCAAAGCCACACACATATGGACTCAAGCAATTATTCAACTACATAGAAGAGGTGGGGTTTGCTGATAGGAATCAAAGGTACAATTACATGGGTGTTGTCCTGTCTGTAATGACAGGAATCGATCTCTCAAAAAACCGATTGAATGGAGACATTCCCGAAGAGTTGGGCTCTTTGGATGGGTTGCACACACTGAACATCTCTAGAAATTCATTAACTGGTGAGATTCCAAAGTCATTCCAAGGCTTGCGCCAAATCGAGAGTTTAGATCTCTCATATAACCAGCTCTCAGGAGCGATCCCACATGAGCTTGTTTTGTTAAATACTCTGGCAGTGTTCTCGGTGGCAAACAACCACTTCGCGGGCAAGATACCAGTTGAGGGACAATTCTTCTCATTCAACAAAAGTAGTTATGATGATAACCCAGACCTCTGTGGATACCCCTTGGAGCGAAACTGTACAAACTACACAACAAGAGATGAGGGAGATGAAGAAGAAGAAGAAGAAGAGACTTCATGGATAGATGGGCCTCTAGTGTACTACTTTTTTGTTGGATTGTGTTATACTTCGGGATTTTGGGGGTGCTTGGGGCTATTGTTTTTCAATGGGAATTTGAAGAAGGCATTATTTGAGGACATCGATACAGCCATTTCCTTTCTCCTGTACATGGCAATCAAATTTAAGAGATTTTTTTGCCCCCTTGGCAGGTCAAGATGATGTACCATGGTTCAACACTTTGAGTTATGTATATTTTACAATATTTGTAGCCTAAAAGTTTGTATGTATATTTTTAAGCTTTGCATGGATTAAATGTTGAATGTGTAATCGCATCATTCATAGTATAATCACATGATTCATAACTTTTACAGTTCACTAATGAGAGGTCTGCTGTTGGTCATTTGAGCACAACTCCTTATCTTAACCTAATGATGAATACTCTTTTAATAGAACTCTCTCTCTCTCTCTTGGGTAGGCAACACTCCTAAAATCATGCGTTGGAATAACTAAAGAGGCCTTACGAACCCTCAAGTTTACCAAACACGGCCACACCTTCAAAATGCATATTAGGCCCTGCCTCATGCCCTATTGAAGATGGATCCAAAATCTAAGGAATTACTTGAATGCCTTGTAAATATATATATTCTCTTTATATGGAGTTATGTTGGTATTTATGGGTTTATGGTAGTTATTCTATATTTTCTCTTTATATATAAGTGGACCTTTATTATCATAAGTGAGAAGTTATGTAAATGAAAATCATGTAACTAGTAATGTGGTCGGTTTTTATACTACTTGTACAGCCTATAAGTAGGCACAAGTGAATGCAAACCACACCTTTTTAGAAAAGAAGAATAAAATTTAAAACAAAAAACAAAAAACCAAAAACAAAAAAAAGGCATTTGTTCTTGATGTTGGTGTATTGCAGAAGTTTTCAAAAATGAAATTTTACAAAAGGGGGTTTTATGGAGGGGGATATGAGTAGTCTTCAAGAATAATCCACACCTAGTGTAGGCATATAGAAATATTTTTGGAGAAAGAAAAATTCCCGTAGTCCTAATATTATCATTCCAAAAAAAGGCATGGAGATGCTAAGTAAAGATATAGGAAAAATAGTTTTTGAGAAAAAAAAGGACCATAGTCATATCATGTCATTAAAAGACATGATGGTTCCAAGTGAAGGCATAGATAATTATTTTTTGAGAAAGCCCGTAGTTCTAGTGTATCATGCCATGAGAAGGATTGCACTGCTCTATGCAGTATTTTACTTAAAATTAATATACAAAATTAGTGCTTACTAAAAGGAAAAAGTTTATATAAGGTTGCAATCTTAAAATGTAGAATTAAAGTGCACTCAAACAATCCATCGTAAATGGAAAACCCTCTAATTGATTATCTCCACATAGAAATGTATGAAAATGAAAAAGAAAAAAGATTTTGAGTCCCAAAAATAGTGAATCTTCGAACATATTTTCTGGACCGTCCATTTTCAAGATTTTCATGTGTTCATAGATCTACTTGATTTGAACCTTTGTTTTAGTCTAAAATTTTATAATTAGAGATGAAAATAAATTCTTAGGATTTGATGGTGCACCTTACTTTCATGGTTTTAGGTTGTAACCTGATGTAAACCACACCCTTAATAAAACCTTTCTAATTTAGTTTAAAAGAAATCAAATCACATGCAGAGCGCGTAGAATCCGTTAATAAATGATAATTTTATTTAGTTATGCCGTTTAAAAAATATTGAAAGAATATACCAAAAAAAATATGTTCTAGGGTTTCATAATTTTCCGTGCGCCTTTTTCCACTGCTTCCACACCATAGCCAACAACTTGACAGCTCAAGTCACGAAACTTCGATGTGCGAATAATGCCATTTGGCCAAGTTTATGCAGCATGGGGGAAGAATTTGGTCATCATGGTCAAGTTCATATATGGTGTGTGAAACGGAAGTTTAGTCATCTTCCTTCCCATGACACGACCTAACTAACGCACTATCGTATGGAAAATGCAACACCCATGTGGAAAAGGGCAAAGCTTTTTTGAGATAAGTGAACAGATGGGTAAATAAATCCAAGGTCTTAAAAACCTTGATGTCATTAAATTAAATTTATTTAAATAAAAAAATATCTACAATTCTTATGATTGAGAATATAAATATAATATAATTAAATATGAAAAGAAACAAAAAGAGAGTGCCGAAAATTACCTCAACCGGGCTTGTTACACCCCACACCTAGTCACCACCATCCAATACATGGGATCAATGATCAACTTTCAATCTCAACCGCAAAAGCAAGTTTAGGTCAAGCTACACCAATGGAACATAAACCCCTTTGATCACAAACTCAAACCCTAAGTAAATTCTCTTATCAACCTAGTTTGAAAGAGATGCTTATCTTTTCTACCACAACCCTATAACCTAAAACCCCAATGAAAGATGAGAAATCATGAGAGACACCATGAGAGAGATGATAACTCTCAATAGTCTAAACTCCTTACACAATGTGGGAGAGAGAGATCTCAAAGATGATAGAGTGAGGTATGCCCCTTTAGGCTTTCATGAGAGAGATAATGATTTATAAAAATTCAAATAATAATTCTAAAAATAATATATCATTAAAAGAAACATGATTAAATTAATTAGATGGAAAAATGATCCATATGGTCTAGGAATTAAATACATAAACGTTGGGTCACTTCACCTTCAACTGTGGACTATGGTCCATACTTGCTTTATCTAACCGACCCAATATTTCCCATGACCCACAGGCCATGCAGAGGTCATTAGTAGGTTCACCAAAGTTTGACCAATGAACCAAGAGGCCGTAATCCCAGTTTGTGGTTTTTAGGTTCTCCCCTAGAGACATGCCAAAGTCACCTAGACCTGATGCGACTACTGCTCCTATGGCGCATAGGGCATCTCTCATATATGCATAAGCTTCACCCTAAAATGTGGTTCGCATTCTCAAAATAGCTATCATTAGGCATGCCATGTGATGGCTTGCGGATGATGCTTTGGCTCCGTCTCTGAAGGCCACCATCATATACAAGGATCATACAATCTCTCGGCTCACTCATCCGGGCATACTCCGACCTCATCAAGGGATAACCTATTAGAACCCTTATCGGATAGTTTTCTACGCCTAGGTAACATAGGTATTTCTCAACTCACTAGCCTAGCTCGTCAAGCTCAGTCATGTATTAGCAAACACCGTTTGCTTACTATGGTCCATAAGGGACCACAATCCTACTAAGTTTATATTCTACTATATCATTTCATTTTACAAGCACTTATAAGACCTTTGATGGCCACACTCACCAAACATTTATTTCCCATTTGACTAAGGGACCGGGTTCTTACTAGTCAGCCCTCTAAAATTCATTTTAAAGGTGGATTTTTTTTTCGAAATTTTAAGGTGATCAAGGCAATCATGAATATGGGAAAAGATACCAATAAAAAGGTCCAAATCAATGAGGTGCTTAGTTTGACAAAAATTAGAGTTTTTATGACTATCCGATTGTATTTGATATGACTATTACTGTTGGTACAAAGAGGTCACAATTGTTGATGATTTATGTATTGTATTATGAGGAAATAGATCTGTCAAGGTGGAGTTAAAAGGACGACTCCGGAGGGCCGTTAAAATAAGAAGGAATTACAATGCATCATACAACCCTAAAATTAGGCAATTGCACTATATCATGGAAAAGTAAAAGAGTGATAAAATCTGGTGGACGGTGGTGCCATACAGTAGCACCTGGGCCAGCAGCTGCTCTTGGGTAGAGTATCAGCAACCATAATTGCCTCACTGTAGACATGCTCAATGGACCATTGAAGGGTTGAAAGTCTAGTGCGGGAATTATCAACGATCGTTTGTAACCGCCAAGGAGCTCGACAACGGTTCCGAAGGACATTCACTAAAAGGGCCGAGTCACTTTCTATCTAAATTGGGGATCAATTTCTCTAATGAACCTCATTAATGCCTTCTACAATGGCCAAAATTTCTGCTTGATTATTAGAAACAATGCCAAAGTGCTTGGAAAATGTAGCAATGAAACCACCAGTTGAGTCCTGGATGACCCCACCACCACATGCTAAATTTGGATTTCCCGATGAGGCTTCATCAATATTGAGCTTGTAACGCCTAGCCTCAAGAAAGAACCATGCCACAGGAATGGGAGGAGTTGATACCTAGCATATGTGAAGGGTCCCAATGATGGCCCTCTCAGATAAGTGAAATGACCACCCTAGCCTTTGCAAGTGCCTGAACATGTAAGATAATCTGATTCACTATTTGCTCTCTCCTGGTGGATTTGAATTCAAATACTCGCCTAATCTGCGCCCCCCCATAGAAACCAAATAGAGGTGAAGAAGATAGACAACCAGATATTAAGCAATCCACGTGATTCGAACCTGAAAAGTAACCACCATCTAAGAATATCAGGGCCAGAGGTACCAAGGACGAATCGCTTCCCACATCTCCAAGCTAGAAATCGCCATATTACATGTGCAAAACCACACTGAAACAAAAGGTGAAAAATACTATCTTCGTGATTTCTGTAGAATGGGCATAAATAATCGAACTGCATGCCACGTTGTTGTAGCAAGGAGGAAGTAGGTAGCTGGTTATGCAAGGCCAGTCATGCAAACCATTTCACCCGTGGGTGGCATTTAGAAGACCATAGCGCATGGAATATAGGTTGAGCTGAGCTGTGTTGTTGCACAAAATCCCATGCTCCTCTGACCGAAAACAATCCATCAGCAAAATCTTATGCTCACCTATAGACTATTCATCGTACACAACGGTCACACAGTCTCTTGGCTTTCATTTAGCATACTTCGACCTTATCAAAGCCTAACCCTGAACGTTCCTCGATGATATCTCTATGCAAAGGTACATTGGATTTTTTCAACTTAGCTAGGTTAGCACGTCAACCCTAATCCGAGTATCAGCAAATTGCATTTACCTAGAATGGTTGACAAGAGGACCACATTCCCACTTAATATATTATTTATTTATTCAAATATTTTATACAATCTTTCTCAAGACAAGCGCCACGTATACCCAACAAAAACTTCTACCCAAATTTTGCTAAGTTTCCCTAAACCTCTTCTTTGCTGCATTCGGTGAGCTCTTATAGACTCAGATAATAGAAAAGGAGCGAGCAATGGACAGAAAGAGGCATAGGTAAACCCAAAAGTTAAAGGCGTACGTTGAGAAAAGGTTTAAAAGAGACTTTTTAAAGAGGAGAAAAGGTGTAGAAAGGGTTGTTTCCCTCTTGACCCCTTTGATTTTTTGTTTTTATTTTTCTTGGTATAGAGACAGAGAACACCCTGATCAATTGCAGGAAAGAACCCCAGCCCCTTGT